CTTTACTGTGAAGAGAGAATAGGTGTTTCTCTGTGTGAAGTTAATTGGCTCACAGGGGACAGAACTGATGATTTTGCCATGATTTATATAAAGGAAGCCAAGAGTCAATCTGTCTGCTTCATATCTCTAATAGCAAGTGAAAGGTAGATTGAAAGACTGTCTCACTTTGTAATTGCTAATTGAGAAGTACGTGCAAAAAAAGGATGCTTATACAGTCTTTCTTTAAAAGGAAAACTTTACAAGCAGTGGATTTTAAACTTGCAATAGTGATCTTTTCATTAAGAAACAATATTCAGGTATGTAAAATAATTTTTCAAGGGAAACATTTTAAAACTTATGTAGGAAATCAATATACTTGAAGCAAATACTTTTCGATTGTAGATGAACAGAAATACATTTTATTGTTTGTATTGAGATTAAAAGCAGTTATCAGAATAAGCATTTTGAATTCTAAAAGTTTACTAGCTACTCTTTTTGAAAGGTACTGCAACCAATTCATTAAGATTTTATTTTTTAATGTAAAAAAAATGATGTCATGACTCTGAAGACAGTAATGGAAGCTTTGAAATTGAATAGATAACTATTCTGTCCTGAAGCTCTGTATTACTTAAGTCCAAGTATTGCATTATTCTTACTAATGTAGAACATACATATCCAATACTAATATAGAAAAATTAAACCTTTTAACCAGATATACTTTTTTTAAAAAGATTTATTTATTTATTTATACAAGCACTGGGTACAGTCAGAAGCGCGGGAGGGTGAGAGAATTCACCAGAGCCAGAGCGGGGAGCAGAACAGGCAGAAGGACCAAAGCACACTGCTGAGGGGAGCAGTGGGCGGCAGGAGAGGTCTGCGCGCCATGTGGGACCCTCCTCTAGTGGCCGGGGAGCAGCTGGGGATGGAACCAGTGCTAGCAACCCAGCGCTCAACAGCTGCGCCACCAGGGAAGCCCAAGATATACTTTTAATGACAGCTTAAACTGATTATCATGTTATAATAGAAATAGAGTAAAAGCACTTGTATGATTTTAATAAATGTTAAAAATATATAAATGGAAGATTTTATTAACTTGACAACTTTGCATTTGACATTTACTGGATATCATATTAAGATATTTCTAGACAGAAAAAATGCCTGTTGTTTTTTTCAATTGTCCACTAATATCAGAACATCATCATTTGCACTGCTTGTCACACATTTTTGATGTTAAGGAAAAAAATATCTGTGACTTTTTTTGAAAAAGTTGAATAAACATGTGTATATGTACATATATATATATGCAAACACATGTTTCTTTTAAAGAAAGTCTCTGAAAAATAAATAACACCAAAAAACATTTAGTATAAGCACTTCATTGAACAATTCTGCAAATCTTAAATCATAAAAAGTTCTGATTTGAGCTTGGTATTTCTCTAGCATTGTCAAACAAGTTTTTTAAGTCATTAATTTCAGCATATAACTGAATGTATATTTACAAGCTAAAATAAGTTTCTCTTCATTTAATCTAATGTATAGTTTACTTCATTAGATCAGCAGAGAATTTGGCTAATACAACCAAAAAGAATATATGAATTAGCAAATCCCATCACAATATAATAACCAACATTATCTATTGGTTTTGTTTTCTATTGTCACATAGAAATATATGGAAACAAACTATTTAAATTTAGCTAAAATAAAACATTATTATGGAGGTGGTAGACACAAAGCAGAGGCTAATATTCAGTTTAGATTCAGGTAGGTACAACAGTAAGTTTGAAATGAGATCTGGTTTCATTTTCTCACTCCTGCTTCTTTCTTCTTAATCTCATTGTATTGCTCTTCTCCTTTCCATCCCTCATTATCCTTATTTGCCTATAGCAAGATATGATCATTCAGTTATCTCATAGTGTATCAACATATAAAAATTAACTGACTACTACACAGGTCAAAATTCCAAAGAAAGAAAATCATATAGGCTCAGCCAAGATAAGGTAGGGTATAACTTTTTATAAGCAAAATTTCAGGTATTAAAGTTGGATATAGGTCCCAAGAGAACTGTATGATTTCTCCTCACACTAATTGCATGGACAAGTTTGGTTTTTTTCCCTAATTTTCCCAGAAGGGGGGCTTGTCCTGGGCATAGCTGGGTAGATCAAATGACTCTGTGTGTAGTTTTCAGGGAGCCAAACAAGAATCTAGAGTAGTGTTTGGCACAGAGTCAGCAGAATTAACTTCTAATTCATTATTATTAATGTAACCATGTCTACTATTGTCATTTATAAGAATCTAGTCTATAACATTAGGCTACATGAATTCACATGCTAGCATTAGCATTTACATTACTAAAGATCACAGTGTGAGCTTGGAAAAGTTATGTATTCTGTCTAATGTTGACATTTGCATCTGTAAATTGAGGGCAATAATATCATTTTGTGGAATAACTATTATTATCATTCTTCTTATAGTTTCTTATCTTTCTTCTGGAGTAAACTTGTTTTGCACTCCATTCTTATAAATGTGGAGAACCATGCACTAATGTAATTTGCCAGAATTTTCTGGTATATTCAATCTCTAGCTGACCTGATTTATGAAGGTGGAGAAAAAAACAAATGTTGAGGAAACTCAGCACAACTACCATGGAACAAAGCAGCATGTGAGAGGTGGAGCAGCAGAATGGCTCAGGCTGGTTATGTCAAGTCCTGATTCCTGGAGTCAGAGGACACACTAAGAATGCCACAGAGAAATTACCTACCTTTTTTCAGGCTTTCTTTTTCAACATAAAAAACCATAGTTTGTTAACCCTGATTAAGTTTCTCTAAATCTAGATATGATTGCTTTAAAATTACTGTCAATTCCAGCATAATGGTTTCTGTCAATCTTGATTTTCAGTGTTATGAATCTTTGTTTATGCTTTATGTTGTTTTCCTTTTATTAGAAGTTGGAAACATTAGAGATTACTATCAAAATTGCACTTCAATTGCACTTATTTACTTTTAAAAGTCACTATTTCTTCATTAGTAAGTTTACAATAGGCTAATATTAGTGACTACTAAATTTTTAAAACTCAATCAAAAAATGATTCCATAAATGTTGAATATATTTTAAGTTTAACTGAATTTGTATTTCTGTCATCAAATATATTGCCTAAAATGCCTTATGGAAACAGATTCTTTATAACAGTATGATATTGGAAAACTGATCATCAATATTTAGTAAAAAAAATGACTCGATTCTATGTGGAAAAAAATGTGTTTTCTATTCACATGTAAGGAAAGAATCAAGAAAAATCACAACGGCACGTGGCCTAGGTTTGTTTTTGTTTACAGAAAGTTCCACAAATGCCTAATAATTTTGTTGTTGTGAGGATGTATTGGGTGAGTTGGGTCAAAGGTGCTGAGAAGACTAAGTGAACCTCCCAGGGCAGAAGATATTATCTCATCTGTACACATGTCACATTCAACAACATTCTGTGTGACTGCTGCTGAGCTCCCATCTGTTAGATCTCAATAGAAAGAACAAAGACTTTTGAAATTTGAGTAATTCAAGAAAAATTCTTTCACTGGCTGGCAAAAGAAATAAAATTAGGAAGAACTGCTTTCTTCCTACTGTATGTTATTGATAAGTATTCTACCTGATCAAATCACATATGTTACAATGTTTTAACCACTTAATTGCTATTTTCTTAACATACCTTATTTCTATGACCTTCATAATAACTAATGTTTGTTTCAAGTATATACTATGTTCTGTCATTATTCAACAATGTGCATTTTTATTAGTTTTACATCTATCAGTCGTCAGTAAAATATTCAGTCACTAAGAGAGAATTCTTATTTGGGAAGTGCAGCTTTGGCTTTTCATAATGCTTCAAATAAAAGAATAGGTTTTCTTAAGATATGAATTAAATTTAATATTTGCACAGCCAACAAACATGAAAAATACAACTATTTTCTCTGAAAGGACTATTAGAAAGAATTCCACAAAATCTATATCTGGGAAATTAAGCTCGAGGAATTTTCTTCAATTACAACAAAATTAATGATAATATGCTGCAGATATTTGAATTTCACATTTTATCTTCTAATGTCACCTCATCTAACAGTAGACCAATGAGTAGCATAGAAATCTTGTGACTTTAAAACATTTTTTATTCACTGACAGCTAAAGTAGCATTGATTTACTCTTATATCTTAGTTGAACACATGAAATGTTTATACAATGCATACTTTAAGATTGAATATAAAATAGATGTTTTGACATAAATGTGAATAAAACCATAAAAAATATTCACACAGAAAATTAATATACCTATGAGTTATGGCCCATTGTGCTCTAAGAAGTAACTGGCTTGGATTGAATTACTCCTCTACATATGAGACACCAAGAAGTTAATGTTTTATTCAGTAAGTATGAACAATTCGCTATGTCAAACTTAGTAGGATGGCAAAAAATAATAATAAATTAGATAGACATAGATTTTTTTTTTCCTCAAGGAGCTGAAAGGTAGAGGTAAAAGTAACAAGCACAAAGAAATTTACAATAATGGATATGTGGAGGGATAAACATATTACATGACTATGATAATGGTATTTAGGGATTAAAAATAAGTACCTATCTAAGTCTGGGTGTTTCCAATTAGGCATCACAAATGAAGTCATTCCTTACCTGTATGGTAAAAAATGATTATTAATCAATCAAAAGTTGAGGATGAGATTACCAGCATCCTAGACTTGAAAAAGAGAGAGATGTATTTAATATTTACAAACAATTCAATTTTGCTGGAGTAAATATATGAGTCTAATAATTGAGTTATTGCAGCTTCAAGCAGTTTGTGGAAATCCTTGTATAACCTAACAAGAAGTTCAGAATTCATCTTAAATTGAACAGTAGAGATGAAAGGGTTTCAAATAGAAAAGTAAGTGTGTATTATAGCAAATCCTGCTATTTTTCTGTACCACGACCTTAGATCTGAGATAGTGATCTGAGGTGACCTTTATATTCTCTCTTTCGGGCAGCTATCCCTGGATATAGAACTGACCTCAGAGTACACAAGGGACAGATGGAAGTACCAGGAAGTTATCTCAACTTCGGGGTAATCCTCAAGCAATGAGAGGTGTAAGGTAGGGAATGAACTTTTCAGGTTTCTTATCTCTTAGCAGAGTGATTTTGAGGTATGACATACATGTCATTTTATAGGGTCATAACAGGATTGGACCCTAATTTTCAAGCGGATAATGTGTGTTAATGAGCACAAATCCCAACATTTATGAAATGTAGAACTTTAGGTAAGTTACTTCAGTCTTCCAGGGGAAAAAGGTTTATAACACAAATGAAACTCAATAAACCTTTAAAAGTGAATATGAATGCTGAAGAAAGTGTACAGAGAATACGAAATCTGACTGAGAAGAAGAAAGTTTCAGATTGCAGTGAAAACATAACTAATACAGCAGAGTTTAGAGCAGGAGTTAGCAAAATACTTTTTTTGTACAGCACACACTCAAAAATGCATTTTTACTTGTTGGAAAACAGAAGTATAATCTTTTGTGACATGTAAAACTTTATGGCATTCAAATTTTATTGTCCATAAATAAAGTTTTATTAGATTACAACCAGATATATTCACTTATTTACTGGCCATGGCTGCTTTTGTGCTACAAAACAGGTTGAGTATTTACAACAGAAAGAGTACAGTCACAGATCCCTTATTTTTACTCTCTATTCCTTTACACTGAATGATGTCTGAACTCTAGTTTGGAGAAATGCTACACCAAGTGCTGGTCTGCAACAAGTCTGTGGCTTGTGCCAGTGTGTGAATTAATGTACTATTTCCTATGTGTAAAACAAGGCTTGCTATTTTTTTTTTTAAAGGGTGGGAGGAGTAGCAACAAAACCACATATTTAGCATATGGCAGATTAACTTTCTGACTCAAGTTCTCTATCCTATCATAGATGGAGTCTCACAGTTTAAGGACCTCTTGGCAGAACAAAGTTATTTTGAAAATCATTGTTTCGAAACTGGCTAGATTTAAGTACTGGACATATGTTCCAGACAGAACGGATTGTTCATCATATAGCATTATTTGAAAAATAACTAATTATAAAAAATAATTATAATTCTAACAAAAAAAATATAGAATGAGTCTATAAATGGATTTGGTTGTATTTAAAATGTAGAAATAAACACTGGAATACTAAAAACTTTTGCAGGGGCCTGCGTGATGGTGCAAGGGGTTAAGTCTCAGCACAATCAAGCTATGGGCAGCCTGTGCAGCATGAGTTCAATCCCTGGCCAACGACCTAACCCACATGAGCCACAGCAGACCTCTCCTGTCTCACCTACTGCTCCCCTCAGCAATGTATTTCAGTAAATCCGCCTGTTCTGCTCCCCATTCTCTGGTGAATCCTCTCACCCCCATACCTCTGGCCTACACCTCAGCTCTTGTATGCATAAAGAAATAAGTCTTTAAAAAAACTTTTGCATAAAAATAGAATGTTACTTAAATGAAAAAAGAAAATAATTTGCTTTAAGTGTTTTTACTATTTATAGGGACCTTTGGTTCTGACCACAATGACAGTCACATTAAATAACACGTTTTACATTCTCTTTCAGCTTCTCATATATGACTGCTTTTTAAAGAGTATTCATTAATTTTACTAAGTCCTCACTTTATTAGTTTTCCCTTTCAAAATTTTTAATACATTTTCAATGTTATTTTAAATTTCCTTTTCCTACAGTATATGAATAATATAAAATTAATTCATATTTCTGACTTTCTCAATTGTCTGTCTCTTTTAGAATATGACTCATTATCACATCCTTAAAATAAAACATTGCCTGATAAGATAAGAGAAAGAAATACAAGGAATCTAAATAGGGAAGGAAGAAGTTAAACTGCCACTATTCTCAGATGATATGACAATATATAGAGAGAACCCCAAAAATTCCACAGAAAAACTAATCAAACTAATCAAACTAATCAGTTTAGTAAAGTAGCAGATACAAAATCAACACACAAAGATCAGTAGCCTTCCTATACATAAACAATCAATCTGAAGAAGAAATCAAGAAAACCATTCCTATTATTATTGAAACAAAAAAAAAAAAAAACAAATACTTGGGAATAAACCTAACAAAAGAGGTAAAGAACCTATACAAAGAAAACTATAAAACACTGTAAAAGAAATAGAAGAAGACACAAAGAAATGGAAAGACATCCCCTGCTCATAGATTGGAAGAATTAACATTATCAAAATGGCCATCCTACCAAAAGCAATTTACAGATTCAATGCTATTTCAATGACATTCTTCAAAGAAATAGAATAAATATTGATGAAATTCATATGGAGCAACTAAAAACCCCAAATAGCCGAAGCTCTCCGGAAAAAAAAAAAGAGGGAAATGGAGGTATCACCATCCCAGACTTCAAAGTATACTACAAAGCCATAATAATAAAAACTGTATGGTATTAGAACAAGAACAGACACACAGACCAATGGAACCAAATAGAAAATCCAGAAATAAACCCACAAATTTACGGTCAACTAATCTTTGACAAAGGAGCAAAGGCTATACAATGGAGCAAAGAAAGTTTGTTCAATAGATGGGGCTGGGAAAACTTGGTTGCTACATGCAAAAGAATGAAGCTTGACTACTACCTCACACTATGCACAAAACCCAACTCAAAATGGATTAAAGAACTATACATAAGACCTGAAACCATAAAATATATAGAAGGAAATATAGGCGAAACACTACATGACCTATACCTCAGTAACATCTTTAAAGACACATCACCCAAAGCAGTGATAGTGAAGGCAAAGATAAATAGCTGGGACTACATCAAAATAAAGAACTTCTGTTCAGCAAAAGAGACAGTAACCAAAACAGAGACACACCCCACCGATTGGGAGAAAAGTTTTGCACACAACACTAATGATAAAAGATTGATCATGAAAATCTACAAAGAGCTAATGAGACTCAACAAAAACAAAGTAAATAATCCATCAAAAAATAGGCAGAAGAGCTAAAAAGAAACTTCTCCAAAGTGGAAATGCAAGTGGCCAACAGGTATATGAAAAAATGTTCAACATCACTTGTAATCAGGGAAATGCAAATCAAAACTACAATGAGATACCATCTTACACCAGTGAGAATGGCACATATTTAAAAAACTAACAACAACAATGTTGGTGGGTATGTGGAGAAAAAGGAACCCTCCTGCACTGCTGGTGGGAGTGCAAACTGGTCCAATCACTATGGAAAGCTGTGTGGAGATTCAGCTTACTAAAAATAGAGCTTCCATATGATCCAGCAGTTCTACTCCTAGGTATTTACCCAAAGGACACAGCAACATTAATTCCAAAGGGCACCTGCACCGCTGTGCTTATAGCAGCACTATTTATAATAGCTAAGCTTTGGAAACAACACAAATGCCCGAAAATAGATGACTGGATTAGGACTCCCTGGTGGCACAAGGGGTTGAGTGCAGTGCTATAAAGCTATGCTAAGCCTCTGCAGTGTGAGTTCAATCCTCGGCCAGGGAGCTACCCACATGGCACAGCAGACCTCTTCTGACTCGCCTGCTGGTCCCCTCAGCAGTGTATTTCAGTCAATCTGCCTGCTCTGTTCCCTGCTCTGTCTCTGGTGAATCCTCTCACCTCCTGCACCTCTGGCCTGCACCCCAGTTCCTGTAATAATAAGTAAATCTTTAAAAAAATAGATGACTGGATCAAGATGATGTAGTACATATACACAGTGGAATATTACTCAGCAATCAAAAAAGATAAACTCATGCAATTTGCAGCAACATGAATGGAGTTGGAAGGGATCATACTCAGCAAAATAAGCCAGAAAGAAAAAGAAAAATACCTTATGGTCTCACTCACAGCAGGAATTTAGAAAACTTAAATAAGGGACCAGGAATTAACCTAATTATAATAAAGTAAAAAGCAAAATCAATAAGCAACTATAAACCCGAGACACACTATGGCAGGGGAGGAGAAGGAGGGAGTAGGATCAAAACAAGGGGTTGGGAATTCTATGGGGACTATAACAAAGATGAAAATGCATACATTGTGCAAAAAATGAAAAATGTGATGTAATAAATGTATAAAATAAAAAAATAAAAAAATAAAACACTGCCTGAAATGCTTACCTTGCAACAATATTAGTTCCATTACTGCATACTGCTTTCCTGTATCTATGTTCCTATTAATCTTTAAAGGAAATATTTTAAATTTCTGTAGTTATAAAATATCCTTAGATTACAAAATGCTTTATCATTAGCAAGACAAATAATCTGGGGCCAAGTTAACAAATGCATGTGCTAAGTTTAGAAATGATATCAACGATGAGAAGCTGCTGATCTGTATGAAAAATTAGAGTAGATATGTTTCAAAGGTGAAAAAGAGCAGGTGAGCCAGTAGAAGCACTTCTGCCTCAGGGAGCACATTTATCATGTAACTTCTCCAAGATGGATACCAAAAAATGGCCTCTCACCAATTTTTTCTTGCACCCATTTTGTGAATAATGCAGCCTTTGAAATAACATGTTAAATGATATGTCAGTTGAACATAATGGGGAGTGACAGAATGCAGACTCAGAAGAACACATACAATATTTCATTTATCTGTGGCCTAGAAAAGAAACTTAAATCATTAATCTGTGCATAGAAGAGAAAAACTTGAATATGAAAATGTTCTGTGTATTAATTGAGGTATAGTTAAGTGAAGGCTTGAATTTTTCGAAAACACATCAATCTATTCTTAAGATATGTGTATTTCACTGTATGCTAAATTCATCTAAAAACATCTAACTCTAAATCAATATTGAACTCAAAAATTTTGCTTTTTGGTAGTGATTTGGCGTGCATTTATTAAACTACTATCTGCACATTCTAGGTTAAAACAAATGAACAAATATATTAAGAATTGAGAGAGTTGGATTTTCCCCGACAAAGAAGGTAGTTACAAATATGGAAAGTGAAAGGTCTATACTGCAACGTATGGAAATGGGTCAAAATTGGAGAAGAAACAATGACAGATTGTTGGCATTGAGCAAATCCAACTACCATTCTCCACTACATGAGTTGAGGTATTTTGGTGGCGAAGAAGGTAGAAAGGGAAAATTGAATCCAGAATTAAGGATGAAAATTCTTAACCTGTAGAGTTGGAATAGAAGGTGAAATTTAATCTGAGAAATTAAAACAGGATATAAATTAATACCTAAATATCTAGTAAAAATGATAACATTTACCCAGGTCAGAGGCAATAGTATAAAATAAACTTTGTTTATGGAGACTTTCTGGCTTTTTTATTATAAAAGAAACTTTGTTTATGGACTGTTTTCTTTTTTACAATGTAAAGACCTCTGCTCTGGGATACAGTTCTACTGAGCAGGAAGTGATTCAGAACACTATTGTGTCTAAGTCTGTCTACAATGGTGTGAGTATCAGACATTTTAGTATGTTTAAAGAAAAGTGTTAGTTGTTTGGAAGTATTTTAATTTAATAACAATCATAGTGATAGCAGCCATTGATATACATTTAGTACTTATAACAGGCCAACTACATTTCTTAACACATATATATGTTAACCAATATTTTACTTTGACAATAGTCCCCATTAGTCTGGTGCTTTTATAATACCAAAATATAAATGGGAACCTGGTGCATTTATAAATTAATTACCTTGCTTGTGGTCACACAGTAATTGATTTAGGATTTGAATCTAGGCAGTTTGGTGTAGATCTGTATTCAGAACCAATTTATTAGGCTGATGTGAATTTATTCAGGTTTTTTTTTTTTTTTTATAAATTTTATTGTTATATTCCCCATACAATTGCCGCCCCCCATTCTGACCCCAATCCCTCCCCTCCCGCCCCCGCCCCCCTAAAAGTGTCTCTGGTTCATAGTTTTTTGTTGATTTTGATTTTCACTTTCTTATAGTTTTTCATTTTCCTGGTCCATTATTTAAGTTTTCTAGATTCCTGCTATGAGTGAGACCATCCGGTATTTTTCTTTTTCTTTTTGACTTATTTCGCTGAGCATGATCCCTTCCAGCGCCATCCATGTTGCAGCAAATTGCATGTGTTTATCTTTTTTGAATGCTGAGTAATATTCCATGGTATATATGTACCACATCTTCTTGATCCAGTCATCTATTTTTGGGCATTTGGGTTGTTTCCAAAGCTTAGCTATTGTAAACAGTGCTGCTATAAACATAGGGGTGCAGGTGTTCTTTGGAATTGATGTTTCTGTGTCCTTTGGGTAAATACCTAGGAGTGGAATTGCTGGGTCATATGGAAGCTCTATGTTTAGTAGGTCCAGAAATCTCCACACAGCTTTCCACAGTGGTTGGACCAGTTTGCACTCCCACCAACAGTGCAGAAGAGTTCCTTTTTCTCCACACCCTCGCCAACATTTGTTGTTGCTAGTTTTTTTAATATGTGCCATTCTCACTGGTGTAAGATGGTATCTCATGGTAGTTTTGATTTGCATTTCCCTGATGACAAGTGATGTTGAACATTTTTTCATATGCCTGTTGGCCATTTGCATTTCCTCTTCAGAGAAGTTTCTTTTAAGCTCTTCTGCCCATTTTTTGACTGGATTATTTTCTTTGTTGTTGTTGAGTCTCATCAGCTCTTTGCAGATTTTTGTGATCAGTCCTTTATCATTAGTGTTGGGTGCAAAAATGTTCTCCCAGTTGGTGGGGTTTCTCTTTGTTTTTGTTATTGTCTCTTTTGCTGTGCAAAAGCTCTTTAATTTGATATAGTCCCAGCTGTTTATCTTTGCCTTCACTATCACTGCTTTGGGTGATGTGTCTGTAAAGATGTCTTTGATGTGCAAATCACGTAGTGTTTCGCCTATATTTCCTTCTATATATTTTATGGTTTCAGGTCTTATGTCTAGTTCTTTAATCCATTTTGAGTTGATTTTTGTGTATGGTGTGAGGTGGTGGTCAAGCTTCATTCTTTTGCATGTAGCGACCCAGTTTTCCCAGCACCATTTATTGAACAAACTTTCTTTGCTCCAATGCATAGTCTTTGCTCCTTTGTCAAAGATTAGTTGACCATAAATCTGTGGGTTTATTTCTGGATTTTCTATTCGATTCCATTGGTCTGTATGTCTGTTCTTGTTCCAATACCATGCAGTTTTGATGATTATGGCTTTGTAGTATAGTTTGAAGTCTGGGAGTCTGATGCCTCCATTCCCTTCTTTTTTTTTCAGGAGAGCTTTGGCTATTCGGGGTTTTTGTGATTCCATATGAATTTCATCAATAATTTTTCTATTTCTTTGAAGAATGACATTGAAATTTTGATTGGAATAGCATTGAATCTGTATATTGCTTTTGGAAGGATGGCCATTTTAATAATGTTTATTCTTCCAATCCATGAGCAGGGGATGTCTCTCCATTTCTTTGTGTCTTCTTCTATTTCTTTTAACAGTGTTTTATAGTTTTCTTTGTATAGGTCCTTTACCTCTTTTGTTAGATTTATTCCCAAATATTTGATTTTTTTTGTTTCAATAACAAAAGGGATGGTCTTTTCGATTTCTTCTTCTTCAGATTTATTGTTTGTGTATAGGAAGGCTACTGACTTTTGCGTGTTGATTTTGTATCCTGCCACTTTACTGAACTGATTGATGAGTTGAATTAGCTTTTCTGTGGAGTTTTTGGGGTTCTCTATGTATAATATCATATCGTCTGCAAATAGTGATAGTTTGACTTCTTCTTTTCCTATTTGGATTCCTTGGATGTCTTTCTCTTGTCTTATTGCCCTGGCTAGGACTTCCAGTATTATATTGAAAAGCAATGGTGAGAGTGGACATCCTTGTCTTGTTCCAGATCTTAATGGAATTGCTTTCAGCTTTTCACCATTGAGAATGATACTGGCTGTTGGCTTGTCATAGATGGCCTTTATGATGTTGAGGTATGTTCCTTGTATCCCAAGAACTTCAAGGGCTTTTATCATGAATGGGTGTTGCACTTTGTCGAAAGCTTTCTCAGCATCTATTGATATTATCATATGGTTTTTATATTTCTTTTTGTTGATGTGTTGGATAACGTTGATTGATTTTCGGATGTTAAACCATCCTTGTGCCCCTGGAATGAATCCAACTTGGTCGTGGTGAATTATCTTATGGATACATTGTTGGATTCTGATAGCTAAAATTTTATTGAGGATTTTTGCATCAGTGTTCATTAGGGAGATTGGCCTGTAGTTTTCCTTTTTTGTGTTGTCCTTGTTCGGTTTTGGTATTAGTGTAATGTTGGCTTCATAGAACGTGTTTGGTATTGTCCCTTCCTTCTCAATTTTTTGGAAGAGTTTGTGAAGGATAGGCACTAATTCGTCTCTGAATGTTTGGTAGAATTCATTTGTAAATCCATCAGGTCCTGGGCTTTTGTTTTTTGGGAGGTTTTTGATTACCATTTCAATTTCGCTAATTGTAATTGGTCTGTTTAGGTGTTCTATTTCTTCTTTATCTAGCTTTGGGTGATTGTAGAGTTGTAGGAATTTGTCCATCTCCTCTAGATTGTTAAACTTGTTTCCATATAACTGTTCATAGTAGTTACTGATTATTCTTTTGATTTCTGCTGTGTCCGTTGTGATTTCTCCTCTTTCATTGATGATCCTGTTTATTTGTGCTTTCTCCCTTTTTTCCTTTGTGAGCCTGGCTAGGGGTTTGTCTATTTTATTGATTTTTTCAAAGAACCAGCTCTTGGTTTCATTGATCTTTTGGATTGTTTTTTTAGTTTCAATTTCATTTATTTCTGCTTTGGTTTTTATTATTTCTTTTCTTCTACTGGTTTTGGGGTTTTCTTGTTGTTCTTTTTCTAGATCTTTGAGCTTCGAGATTAGGTTGTTTCTTTGCGTTCTTTCTTGTTTCTTGATGTGAGCTTCTATTGCTATATATTTTCCTCTTATTACTGCTTTTGCTGCATCCCATACATTTAGGATATTGGTGTCCTCCTTGTCGTTCAATTCAAAAAATTTTTTAATTTCTTCTTTGATCTCCTCATTAGTCCAATGGTCTTCCAGTAGTGTAGTTTTTAATCTCCATGAGGTAGGAAAGTTCCTTGCCTTCTTTTTATGGTTTATTTCTAGTTTGATGCCTTCATGGTCAGAAAAGATGGTTGATATGATTTCAATCTTGGTGTATCTGTTGATGTTTGTCTTGTTCAGGTTTTTTTAACAAGTTAATTTTTGCTCGTTAGTTTTATGTCAACTGATTGCACTTACAAAAAAATAAAGATATATAGATCTTCATTGCTACTGTCATCTGTTTCTCCCAACAGAATTTGTTCTTCCAATTAATTGGGACAGCCAGTTAGCACTGGCATGAATCAGCACTACAGTTAAGAAGCTTTCCATGAGGAAACATTTTTTTTTAAGTCTGAGATTATGTGGCATAATTTCTTTCCTTGCCACAATACTCTTTTTATAGTACTTTGAGCATCTAATCATTTTTTTGAAAATCAATAAACAAGAAACAGCAAAATGTAGATACATATTTATACAATATTTTTTTCTTATAAAAATGGGGCCAAATTCTTAGATTATCTTTCTTGCTCTCGATACCTACCACAAAGATAAGTCACATACTATAAATTCTTAGTTTATCTTCCCAGTGTTATATTATATTTTAGAGTTTGTGTTTGGAGATGTTATCCTACAACATGTTTATTCCAAAGAATTTTTAATTTTTCCTTAAACTATTCATATACTTTTTAAAAAAATATATAAATATACATACAAATGCTTTTATATGTATTTATAATACTATTATTGTACATTGTAATACTATATATGTACTTACATGCTCATATAAATATTATATATTTATATATGATAGTACTTATTGAGAATTGTTCTGTAGACTTTTCCATAAATATAATGCTGCAGCACATGTCAATGTTAAGAAACTAATTTTTCAGTCTATTTCCCATATGCAGTTTTTTGGAGGTGGTTAACTGATTACTTCTCAGCTGTAATTTTGAGCTCCAGTGAACTGTTATGGATGTTCCATTTCAAAACAGAACATATGTGGACAGAACTGTTTCCGTTATGCTTGACTGATGCCCCTGATTGGGTTCTAAATTCACAACTATGCCTCTAGTTATGAACTAATAACTTTGATTATTTAGGTAAATTCAGATCTTCAAATCCAGTCCTGTTTGTTTAGTTGAAAAGCAACTAAAAATGCATCTGCCAATATGCAAAGCAGGTTTTTTTTTTTTTTTTTTTTTTTTTTTTCAGTTTAGAAAGATCTCATAGTTTAGGTTGCATGGAATGCTTGACATTAACCTAAATTGTATTATCCCAGCACACATTTAAGTCATCAAACAATTATTTGTTGACATGGGAAGACATAAGGCTGTTTTCATGAAAAATTAGATAGTTTGAATAAATGTGATGATGTTTAGAAATAGTTAGAGCTTAATTAGAGAATATCTTAAAAACATTACTCAAAGTCAGATTTGCATCCAATGCTTGTTATGCCTCTATAATACATAATAACTTTATATGGAAAAACATGTTACTGTGGAAAAAAAAAAAAGATGATTTCTCAGGACCTGAATTCTAATTTTAGCTCAATTACCTCTTGCCAGATATATTTGGAAGTTATTTAACCTTTTCATTTTTTGGTGCCCATATTTGTAAAAGGGAATATATTATTGTTTAAACCTAATACCTATGCAAAGATTGTGTAAGATTTAAATAAAACCATATATATGAAAAACTCACAGGATGGAGATAATCAATGTGAATGCTACTGAATCCTACTTAATTATGACAGAAGACTTCTCGCTAATATTATTTTATGTACAAATAATGTATTCTTCCCTTTTGTTATTGGGATGTGCCATGAGAAACATACTGTCTTTACCAGGTAGATTAAGATATTTCCTTAATCAAGGTACCTTTATAAATTCCCTGTCCCTGTATTCATTACCTTCTTCTTTCTTTTCCTTAACACATGTTTTACTATACTTTCCTGTCATTTCTATAGCATATCCCAAAAGCAGTGTCTTTTATTTCATTGGATATTGTAGTCTTTAAGAAACTTTTCACAGTATCAGGTTTTTAAAGCTTACTTAACTTATTACCTCTAATTTCATGATTATGTTTTTAAACTAGTTTAGGGCCTCCCTAGTGGTACAAGGGGTTAAGTAAGCACTCTGAAGCTATCTGCAGCCACTGCAGCACAAGTTCCAATCACAGGCCAAGGAGCTAACTCACATGGTGCAGCAGACCTCTCCTGTCTTGCCTGCTGCTCCCCTCAGTGCTGTATTTCAGTAGATCCATCTGTTCTGCTCCCCAGTCTGTCTCTGGTGAATCCTCTCACTCACACACACACACTATACACACACCCCACCGCTGGACCTCTGGCCTACACTCCAGTTCTTATATGCATAAATAAAAATGTATATTTAAAAAAATAAATAAATAAAACTAGTTTAATGCAATGATTTACTATTGCATTTTACATAGGCCACAATTTCAACAAAGTTCCCATCAGAAAATATAAGAAACATTCAAATCAGGAAACTGAGAGGAGAGTTTAATTACAAAAGACCTGTTTTGAAAAGTGTGTAGAACAGACTTCCTTGAAATAAACAATATTATTATGTTAAAGCACATGAAATGAACTTGTGTAGAAAGTCCACTGTGGGCCTCCCTGGTGGTGCAAGGGGTTAAGACATAACCTATGAAGGTGTCCACGGCTTCTCCAACAGGAGCTCGATTCCCTAGCTGGCCAAGGAGCAACACACATGGCACAGCAGACCTCTCCTGACTCACCTGCTGCTCCCCTCAGCAGTGTACTTTGGTTAAGACATAACCTATGAAGGTGTCCACGGCTTCTCCAACAGGAGCTCGATTCCCTAGCTGGCCAAGGAGCAACACACATGGCACAGCAGATCTCTCCTGACTCACCTGCTGCTCCCCTCAGCAGTGTACTTTGGTCAGTCTGCCTGTTCTGTTCCCCACTCTGTCTCTGGTGAGCCCTATCACCCCCTACACCTCCGGCCTGTACCCAGCTCTTATATGCATAAATAAATAAATCTTTTTTAAAAAAGAAAAGAGAGGGATTGGGGTCAGAAGGGGGGGATTGCAATTGTATGGGGAATATAAAAATAAAATTTATTAATTAAAAAAAAAAAAAAAGAAAAGAAAGTCCATTGTGATCTAACAGGAAATGAACCAGGGGTAAATTCTCTGATTGCACTGTTTTTCTTTCCTTTACTTTCTTTTTTTTTTAATATATATTTTTAAAGATTTATTTATTTATACAAGCACTGGGTACAGTCAGAAGTGTGGGAGGGTGAGAGAATTCACCAGAGCCAGAGCGGGGAGCAGAGCAGGCAGAAGGACCGAAGTACACTGCTGAGGGGAGCAGCAGGCGGCAGGAGAGGTCTGTGCGCCATGCGGGACCCTCCTCTGGTGGCCGGGGAGCAGCCGGGGATTGAACTGGCGCTGCAGAGGCTGTGGGCTCCTTCGCAACCCAGCGCTCAACCGCTGCGCCACCGGGGAGGCCCCTCCTTTTATTTGTTACCCAGGTTTCCTATTGGCCCAACTTAATCAGAAGAAAGAAGAGATATTTTTGCAATCCTTATAGGCTAGATTTGTAATGTAGGGAGCAGGTGTAAGAGGGACAAATAACATGGATTTGTAACAGTCCATCAAAGTTATCCCTCATCCAGTTGTCCCAACTGATACTTTCCCTTCTTCCACCACAAAGTTGTGGAGTAAGGTCAATTCACTCATGTACCTACCTAAATTGAAAATATTAGCCATCACCAGTGTTCTTCATATAATTTATAGGAGAAAATAAGAAGGAAATACTGATTTTAAAATGACAGACAAGATCACCTTATTACTGATGTAGTCAGTTATCATGACTGCCTCTTTTCGCTGCCCATTCTTTATTTCCCTCACCTTCTGCCAACATCTCAGATGCATGGAACTTCTGTTCAACTCTTAACTAGTGCACAATCTGAGTGCTTCAAACTACTCTGGGTTATTATAGTTTGCTATTTAACCATATATTTGAGAAATATATTACAAATAAAAGCACATCAACTAATTTCCTTAGTTCCAAATACAGTTGGCCATTGAACAATACAGAGATTAGGAGTGATTTCCCTCACATAACTTTTCAGTTTGCCAAAAATGGACAACTGGAAGCCTGCTCAGGACTGGTACCTTTATCAATGGCATAAACAATTAGCACATTGAATATGTTAAGTGTTAAGTGTATATTGCATCATATTCATACAACAAAGTAAGTTAGAGAACAGAAAATGTTATGAAATCCATGCTTAACTGGATCCATGCAATTCAATCCAGTGTCATTCAAGGGTCAGCTCTATAGGGCTCTTTACCATCATTTTAATGCAGCAATCTAATTTATGAGTAGGAATAAGTAAAACTCACATTGACATTAACCTGAATTGTATTGTACCCTGCCACATTTAAGTCAACAAACAATTATTTATTGACATGGAAAACATGCAAACCTATTGGTTCAAGGTCAGAAAAGACACATAACGGCCCAGTGGCAGATTGTGTTGCTTAGTGGAATCATCTTTGGCTCTTGGACAGAGGGAAAATTGTGCTAGTGCCACAGTGCTGAAAGAAGCATCCTATAAATCTTCTCATAATGGAGCTAGCTGGCAGAATATTCTAGTCAGGAAATACAAATCCATACCTGGAATATATAGTTGTTCTGTGAGTATAAAAATTTACCTGGTCTATTTTATAGGAGTTTTATAGTAAAATTTATCTGCTACCAGGTAGCCATATGCCCCACCAGGAAATAGTGCCACATTAGCATTTATTGGCAGGAATAGCTAGGTTAGCTATGATTTGGGGAAAAACAAGTAATTGAGCCCCTGCTTAGCCAACACCACATTCACCATGACTACTTTATATGTTTTCATTGAGTAAATGCTAGAAGAGCTGAGAAAAATACTGGTCAATATTTCTAGGACCGACCATCTTCTCCATTTAAATATTAAGAAAGCTTTTCGCCAAGGATGTGCTCTGGTGGGCATTTACAGCAGACATAAAAATCTTTATACTCTGTATATTGTGGAAAGTTCACTCACATAATCAGTCACATTTATGTCTCAAATACCTGAGAGGATCAACCCTTTAGCTCCTACCTGTAGGTCATTTCAAATCCATACCTCAGGCTACCTGAAGCAGACAATGAGATGTACTATCAAATGGATGTCAAAAGCCATCTTCTCGATTGATTGTGACCTAAACCTACAAGCCCAAACATGACTAGGGTTGCATTTTTTCCCTTTATTAAGGGATCACTATAAACTCACAAAAAAAGATAAAGATGAGGTTAGTTAGAAGCAGGAAAAGAACAGGACCACATTTTATAAAGATTTTAA